TGTTCGTTAAATGTTCTTGCGCGTGAGCTCACTGCGGACACACGTGCACTTCCACACTGTTCTCGAGGAGATATAGCCAGCGAGATTGTGGTCGAGAAGCCTTGCCTACTTCTCTCTATTTATATCGGTGCACCCTCGGTACGTTTACGGTAGCAGAGCGGAGAAACTCGTAACTGGATAACTTTCGCACGCGAGGCTTTAGCTTGCCTTGATCGCGCGGTCGGTCCTTTGCGTGATCGATGCCCGAAATCCTTACAACGAATGGCGGTCCGGTATGATTACGCGAGGATGCGCACATGCTCACGCGGGGTGCGCGGACGACTACCGCACTACTTTGCTCGCGCGACCAATGGCAACGGCGCGATGACAAGTCAGTGCGCGCAACGTTACCGAATCCGACCAATATCGACGGAATCTCGAACACGCCGCCGCCCTTGAAAGGGCCATCTTTCAAAGGTCTTGAATTCTACGCTTCCTTGAAAATAAAATAAAAAAAAATAATAAAGCATTGATTGCGCCCGCGACACATTGTGCTTGACTTAGCAACTTAACCAAGGAAGCGCTAACTTAACGGTAATACGGTGACATAGAGCATCGGATGCAAATACAAGGATTGTTTGAAAGCATAATAACACACAATTATCTAAAACTACATACGATATCTTAAAACTAACTTACAGCGTATGAAAAGAGCTTATAAACTAGGTTTCAAGCGGTAAAATCGCTAATTTGGTTAAGGGTCTCGTGATCGAGCCTTTGGAAGTCTGAAGCGTGGCCGTTCGAGCTACGCCGTCAGCGCCTGGGTGAGTTTCCTGCACGCGACCCAGAAACCATTGCAATGGCGCTAGATTCGGCTGTCTTACGAGGACGAGCTGATTGGGCAGCAACTGTATGCCTTTGTTGATTTTCCATTTGTTTCGCTCTTGCAACGACTGCAAGTACTCAGTGCTCTACCGACGCCAAAAATGCTGCCGAATCTGCTCGACCCTCTGCCATCTGAGTAAGCGGTTCTCCGGAACGTCGACGAGATTTCTGGAAGGAAAGCTATTTAGTGCAGCGCCGATCAAGTAGTGTCCCGGTGTTAGGGGCGACATATCATTCGGGTCTGAGCTTAGAGCCGTGATGGGCCGTAAATTGAGGATCGCTTCTATTTCGCAAAGTACGGTCTGCAATTCCTCGAAGGTTAAATGAGCCCTACCTACAATGCGGGCCATGTGTAGTTTTGCCGACTTAACCGCCGCCTCCCAAAGCCCGCCGAAGTGGGGGGCATTCGGTGGAATGAAGTTCCACGATATTTCCAACTCGCTTAGAAATTGCACAATCTGATCTTGCGTTTGTGATTGATTGTAAAATTTGTACAGCTCTTTGAGCTGTCTGTTAGCGCCCACGAAGTTGATTCCGTTGTCCGAGAACACGTGGGCGGGTTTTCCCCTTCGGGATATGAAACGTCTAAATGCGCCGAGG